CTGTCAGGCTGGCAGAGTTGGGGTTTGCAGAGACGGTGGAAAGACCCAGAGAAGGCAGTTCAAGCCACTCTTCAGACTCAAGCCCTGGGCAACCTCCCTCTGATCTCCAGCTGACTTGGTTGCGAGAGGGTATCTGATTCTCCTGGTTGGGAAGACAAAAGTACTCAGACTTTGGGTGGGCCATGTCCTTGGTCAGAGATACTGTCATGTCCTAGCCATGCTGGGAAAAGTGCCTGTAGGTGTGGGCTGGCTGGCGGTGCTCAGATCTGCTTTCTTGTTGAGCCCTGCATTGTCCGCACCAGTTGATCTCTGTGGACCTGGCGGTCAGTGTGAAGGACCACTCCCAATGACTAAGAGCCATGAAGGGCCATATCCAAGAATGCTTTTTCCCTACCAGACCCCAGTGCCCCACTTAGGAGTTGTTCCTGGCTCCCTGGGGACCGAATGTCCCATTGTGGAAAGTATTTCTGACATTAGCATGCTCAAGGCCTCACCCAAGATTAGGAGACTGTTGTGCAAGACACAAGTGACATTTCCTGCCCTGGGGACCTTGCAGTCCTCATAAACTATAGGTGTGAGGGGAAAAAGATCTCCTTTTACACAGCAAGCCGATGACCAGGACAGGGACAAGACCCAATCCCTCCTCTCCACCGGCTGGGTCATTCAGCGAGATTTCATGATCTGCCTGCGTGACCGATCCCAAGGCTGATACTATCCAAGATAAGGGCTGGGCAAAGGCCCTTGGGGGAGCTGTATGTTCAAAGAGGAAGATGAGGCCATGCAGCACACACGAGGCCACTCCAGCCATGGGCTGGTGTCCTCCTCAGCCTAACCAGCAGACGCGATCCTTTCCTCAACCCTGTCCCAGTGCCGGCCATACCTGGCTTTGGGAGAGGGAGTAAATCTTTCCAGCAGAAAGGCTATTACAGAGGTCACGGGACGGACCCATAAATCTCCATTATCAGGCAGCGGCTCCTGTGCCACGAAACGGAAATTATTACCCTGAGTGCGACTGGGGGAGCCTTTCCTTCCCCCCGCATTGTTCAGGGCCCTCCGGGAGCCGCTCGGGCAATTTGCTGCCTGAATAAACGTTTCCTTTCCCGGCTGCTAAGTACAAGGAATAAGTGTCAGGGGAGCTCATAATGCCAGGATTTAGAGCTCCAGCCCTGAGACAGAAGCCAAGAAAACACTTTGCTGTTTTTTCCCGGGGAACCTCCTTAATCCCCATTATTAATAACAATGGCAAATTAAACAATTAGTGCGCTTGAAGCCCAGTGACCTTCATGCCCAATATAGCTCAACCTGCCAGTGGATCGCAGTTCCTGTGGGCTCTGAGCCCTGGGAACGTTTGGGTTTCCTAGGTCTGGATACCCACCCACGCCAAACTGCACGGGCTGCAGCTCTTCAGGTGATACTCTCATTATTTTGTAGACCCTCAGGTTTTTAAGAGCAGCCGGGATGTCTCAGCTGTGCGGCCAGAAGGTCAGCTCAGAAAGCTCCCCTCGGCAACTTCATCCCTGAGTTTAGTGACGCTGTGAAATTACAGCACCTCTTTTAGAAAGAAATCCAGTCCTTTGCCTTCCACTTCTCCATTGGGGCCCAAATGTCCTTTGTTCACTAACGGGCATGCACTAGGCCTGCATCATCTTCTCCGAGCCAGTATCCAGTAGCGTCCGAGACACATCCTTTGCCATCATCAAGCATACTTCGAAGCAGGATATTTCTCCTCCAGGTGAGATCTCTTGAGGTCAAGGAGCTCCCTCTGCTCTGACGGGGCTCCAGGAATGGTTTTAATGAGGTTGCACTCTGCAGATGTCATCTTCTGACTCAGCACTGGGTGGTGCACGCAAGGGACACACCCATCTGATATCGCCCCATAAGGGCTGCGATTAGGGAGAGCCACCCATTGCGTGGAGCCTCAATGTGCCCTGGGAACAAAGTCTGTTCCTTTCCCCGTCTCGAGCACCAGTGAGTCCTGTTTATTAACGTTCACAAGGATCACCTTTGTCTGCAGCTGAGAAGGGAAAATCACACAAATGTTATTACTACGGAAGCAGAAGAGGACTTTTGGAAACTTAAACCAGTGAAAGTCCCTCAAGAGAGAAGCTGCAGTCCAAATCCCATGGAAACTGAAAAAAAAAAAACCCCAAAACCCAAACCACCAAACAAGTGGTGAAGAATATAGCTCAAACAAATACAGATGAAAAAGGAGAGCGGGTCTCAAGACTGCTTTGCGCCGGTCTTTTGGATGTCTGGTTACAAACCAACAGTGAAAATAATGTGGACAGTGGAGCTGGGTGTCACACAAACTCTTAGGAAATAACGTTCAATATTCATTAGCAATTTTGATTATTGTCAGAAAATAAGAGACTTACACTTTGCCTGGTTTAAACTCCACATCCTCTGTTTTTTTCTAAAAACAGAAGTATACCCGTACTTATACTTGACATTTCTTCTTATCATACCCATTTTGAGGGACCTTCCTGTTCAAGAGCTAGTCCAACTCTTTACATTTCTGAGGGACCATTAGGAATTTCCTCCTTTTTCTTTGATAAAAAAACTTTCAGATTTTGGTTTTCTGGATGAAAAATCTCCAGGAAAGATGATATTTTGTAATTAGTCACAGACACAACTCAAATCGGTCAAGAGTTTTAACTTATCTTCAGACTACTTCTGCTCTGCTAATTCTCCCTGGATGATGTTAATGACTTTGTACTGAATTATTTTCAAAGAAGGAGGGATTTTCTCACAAGACAAAAATTACTGTGAAAATAATTTGGCTTTTTCTTTGGAAAATGATAATCAAAAACCTCAACAACTTCTAAGATGAAAAAAATAGTGAAATGCTTTCCTTTCTTGAGATTTTATGAGGAAATTAGTTCTTTCCTGACCAGCTGTTCCAATCCCCTCTCTTTTCAAAGGAAGTTTATTTGATCTAGATTTTGGCTGCAACTCAATGGTGATTTTAAAGGGGAAAGTGAGGCATTATGGTTACAGTATCACTGAATCCACGTGTACAAAAATCACCTGGAGGGATTCCCATCTTTCCTAAACCACCAGAATTGGTCAAAGGTAATGAGATTTTCCTAAGCTGCTGAGAAGATACTGGATTCCTTTTTTTCTGGCTCCAGAGCCCCTTGGGTACACTCATTTACTGTTTTCTAGTATTTCCCCATGGGCACACGGTGTAATCTCTTGCCATTTTTAGCCTGGTTTTCTAGGGAGGATTAGGCTCACGTGAATCTTTTTCTCTGTGTCTCTGTTTACTGGCGCCACTTTAGTAATTTTTTAATCCTTTGGCTGTTTCATGGTTATGTAGTTTCCTACAGGTTTTCCAAAAATAGTCTGGAGAAGAGAGAAAATAAGGCTGATGTTTGAACATAACCCTTATTAGATCTCAGAGAATCCACATGGGATTGAGACACAGATCGGCAAGAAGCCAAATTTTGTTGGTTTGCTGTTTGGGGAACTATTATATTCCAGCAGAAAGCTGAGATACTCATATAACAAGCAGGCGGACAAGCACAAAATACAGCAAGATGCACAATAACGTTTTAAGAGTTAACGTTATGCTGGTCTGTAATGGCTGAAGGTCCTGATGCAAAGCTCTTGCCGTCCTCCAAACGTCTCCTGTGCGCTGCAGTTTGTCGGGAATTTTTTCAGCAGCCTGGTTTATTCCCAGCCTATGCTAAGTAATGGAGCCGTTTGCTGTCATTTGTCATTTTCTTCTTCTCCCCAATTATTTTACCATCTAGCGTTCCCTTCTTGGTGCCCGCAACAGAACGTGTCCACGTGCAGGAAGGAATGGTTTTGTAACAGAACAAAATACATCCCCAAGCTGAACTCAATAGCTGATACTCTCCAGGTGGGATCACCATGAGGAACGCACGTTTTCAAGGGCCATGCCAGCCAGATGCAGCTATATTTACATCTCAGCAAGGCCTATAGCTGATGCTTATATTTTATTAGGTGAAGTTCTTGCCTTCTCAAGGGCATTGTATCCAAGGGTGAGCTGACCTGTGTCTTTCCAAATGATGATGCAGTCGAGGTGCGTTGTGTTGACCTCTGCACCGCCTTGCAGATGATACGGACCTGCCATAGCCAGAGGGGTTGGACTGGCCCAGCCCAGGGCAGTTGTCCTCACCCTCAGATCACAGCTGCAGCCGGGCCCCGGTGGTGGGTGAACCAGGAACGTGATGGGTGAATGCACCAAGCCCTGGAGAGTGACATCAAGCACGATGGAGATTTGCATCAAAAGCTGAGTCTCTGACATCTGTGAATGCCCAGTGATGTCTGTCAGCTGACAGCCTGAGCTGGGGTTGCACATGTTGTTGTAGTCCTTGCAGTTCAGGAGATGCTTCTCACGCAGAGAACAGGGCGAAGGCACGTGAACGTCTCTCCCCCTTGGTGCTCTGCAGCCGTTCCCCTCTGCAGAGGGGCTGGGTGGGAGCTGGCATGGGCTGGGTGAGGAGCAGTCCTGCGGGGGAGCAGGGCGCACAGGCACGGCTTTCCCTGCCCACACTTGCTTCAGCCCCGTTGAGAGGTGCTCGGGCAGCTGTCTGATCTCTGGGTGGTTCTGCTTCGTGGGTCCAGGCTTGTGTTTGTCCGCGGTCGCAGGCAATTTGTCTTGATTGTAAACACGGCTGTTCGCCTGCCCCAATCTGTTTGCCCTGGCTAGGCCCAATCTTGAAAATTGGATAACGTCAGAGCAGAAGGGAAGGTTTCTATTTCTGTCTCCTTGTATCTGTGTCCCAGCACATCCCTGCTGCCACAGAAGTCCTGCAGCCAACACTGTATGGCAGGGAAAGGGGTTCCTCTTCCCAATAATCCCAGGGGCTTCCTTGAGAAAGGAAGAGCTGTTTCTTGCACCCTGTAAAATCAGAATGTTTGTGATTTCTTGAAATGTCACTTCTGGGCTCAAATATTGAGAACCAGACCAGAAATTAAATGTACGGCCGCCTAATTAACCAAGTCTTTTCCCTTCTCTCCCATCATGGCAGCAGAATTTTTTGATGATTATTCAGAGGGGCGAGAATGTGTCAACTGTGGGGCCATGTCCACCCCACTCTGGAGGAGAGATGGCACGGGGCACTACCTCTGCAACGCCTGCGGGCTCTACCACAAGATGAATGGCATCAACCGGCCCTTGTTCAAACCTCAGAGGAGGCTGGTAAGTCGAGATCACACAACGCATGGGGGGCAAGGCTGTCTGTGAGGGTGAGGCAAAAAGACCTCAGCTATGTGGAGATGCCAGGGGTGTTTCAACTCCTTGGGTCCCCATCTGCCCAACCTAGGTGGTTTTGGTCCAGATTTCCAAAATAAGCCAGATTGTCTTGTGCTTGGTACACTCCAAGACCTTGTACTGTCCAGACCAGTTCTGCAGACACCCAGGCCAGGCAGTGGAAGGGGCTGTAGGACACAGGGGCAGTACTGTGGTGCCGGTTTAGCAAAAGCCGGTCTTTGCTTTAGTATCCCTGTAGGCATATTAGGATGAATGGAAACCCTTTCCAGCTCCACCACACCACCAGTCCATCTTCTCTTACCCTCAGGGTCCTTATTCTCCCGTCGCTTCATGGTGACTGGCCACCTTTTCTGGACACCCTCATCCCGGCTCTGTTGGGTGAGCTGAAGCAGAGCTTGTGGGGCAGGTCAGGGCATCCCAAAGCCTGTGGGGTCAGGGCATCCCAACGCCTGTGGAGTCAGGATGGGGTATGCATGAGGAACCTGGGGATGGGAACATCTCGGTGTTGATATCCTGCCTGTCCCTGCCCATTTTGGTGAGGGGTTTTGGGAAGGTCTCTGTAGTCTGGGCCCCATGGACACGGGGCCACTGTGACCCCAGGCAGCAAAAAGCCAGCAAGCCATCCCTCAGGGCCGCAGTTCCCCACTCCTTGTCTTCCATGAAGCTCCATCCTCAACCTGCCCTGCCCTTCGCATCGCCCAGACCTGCCTGTGCTCAAACCCAGCCGCGTCCCCTGCAAGTGTCAAAAATGACACTGGCAGCTTGAGCGCTGCTACCAGCCACAGCCACCCAGCGCCCTCTTGTGAAAACCCCTTCTTAGACATCGCGCTGACTGAGCCAGGCAGTTTCTGCACCCTGGCACTCAGGCCCTTGCCCTGTTTCATTTACTGGTCTACATGTTATCCTTGAGCACATCTGTGTAGTCAGGAATGTCCCGTTGGGTACCAGGCTTGGTCCTTCGGAGCAAGCAACAATGCATGCTTTTAACTCTGCACGGCCTTGGGGTAAGGCTTGGAAAACCCCATGAGAAATATAAATGCATGAGCTGTGCAGATCTGTACGTGCGTTCCTGCCACTTGGCTGGGCAGATGGCAATCTGGAAGTCTTACAAAAATGGCCAAATTCCTGCTTTTTCTTCTGGAAGAGAATTTCCATGAAGAAAAGGAGGATATGTCTAGGGATGCAATATAGGCATGTGGTTAAAGTAATGACAATTGGTCTACCTGAATAAATATATTCAGTATAAGTGATGGGGTTTAATCTGTCACTGTGTAACCCCATTTTTCAGAAACAGAGGTATACCAGAGAGCCCTGCAAGGGGAGATCTTTGCCTCTGCTGCAAGCTCTCTTTTAAGCTCTCAGTCCACTTACAAAGGCCGATGATTGAAGCTAATGCATGTTGAGGTTACAACTAAAGCGTAAGTGTTTGGTTTCTCTGCACCAAAGGGGTTTCCAGCTTTCAAAGTCTTAAGAAGTACTTGAATTTCATTTTTTATTGTCCTGCTGCCATAGATTAACTGATCCGGTTTTGTAATGAGGAAGAAGACACAGGGAGACAACTGTGGCAAAGATCACAGAGGAAATCCCTGGTAGCTGCCAGGTCCTCATCTCCCAGGCTTTCAGTGCTTGGTTTCTCTGCACCAAAGGGGTTTCCAGCTTTCAAAGTCTTAAGAAGTACTTGAATTTCATTTTTTATTGTCCTGCTGCCATAGATTAACTGATCCGGTTTTGTAATGAGGAAGAAGACACAGGGAGACAACTGTGGCAAAGATCACAGAGGAAATCCCTGGTAGCTGCCAGGTCCTCATCTCCCAGGCTTTCACCCCATTACAGAGCTGCCAGCTCTGCTGTTTGGGTCTGCAGAGCTGGGTAGATGTCCAAGACCACCAGATTTCCTCCCTATAGGCTCCTCATCAGGCACAGCGAGAACAGGCATCTTCACACAGCTCTAGCACTTCTGCTCAGTCCCCAGTTTATCAGCAAGCAAAGAGGGAATTTGACCCCAGCCCATCCAGACTTTATCCTCAGCCTCTTAAGACCTGAGCTTTGAAGGATGCTGGGAAGTCAGGCGGGCGTGGAGGATGTGGCTTTTTCTTCCCCCATGTCCCACTCTGCTTCCAAGCTCAAAACTGGTATTTTATGTGGTTTCAAGCCCATTGTCTTCCTCCTGTGGCCTTTTGAGCCTGGCCAAACCAGTTGACCCAGAAAGGGAACTTCAAAAGGCCTGTTCCCTGTACTGCTTCATTAGTGGGGTTTCCTATTAATTATCCCTCTTTATCTTTAGGGGGCGTGGAGATGTGGCTTTTTCTTCCCCCATGTCCCACTCTGCTTCCAAGCTCAAAACTGGTATTTTATGTGGTTTCAAGCCCATTGTCTTCCTCCTGTGGCCTTTTGAGCCTGGCCAAACCAGTTGACCCAGAAAGGGAACTTCAAAAGGCCTGTTCCCTGTACTGCTTCATTAGTGGGGTTTCCTATTAATTATCCCTCTTTATCTTTAGGAAGACGATGCTGCTGGAAGCACTGTTTTTCTTATCTCCCCCTCAAGCCACACGAGCAACATCACGCAAAGCCAGCAAGGAGTATGTAACATTCATGGCAATGATAATGTCTTCTTGGGATATGCCATGATGCTTGGAAGGTGAAGGGCTTGGGAGCCTGAAAGGGCAGGACGGTCTGAGATCCAGACACCTTAGTCTAGGTGTGCGCACGTGCAGTGGGTCTCTAAGCTGCTACTAGACCCGCTGGAAATCTGGGGCTCTGTTCAGGTGATGTCTCTGGCACCATCTGAGATGCCTCAGGACAGCTGAGATGTCTGCGCAGCGCTGGCAGGCAGGAGGCAGTGGAAAGGCAGTGGAGCAGAAGCTGAAAGGCAAGAGGGGAAGAAAAAGGCAACTGTGTTATCCACTGCAGCAAGGTGAGAAGAGAAAAAGGCAGAGAAATAAGAGTGGCAGGAGGAGAGGAAAAGCCGAGGCGTGCTGGAGCCAGCTCGTTGGGATCTGAGATGCTGCCGGTGGCAGCAGTGGAGGGCTGATGTGTTTTCTTCCTCTGCGTTTTCTCGCAGTCGGCTTCCCGCCGCGTCGGCCTCTCTTGTGCCAACTGCCACACAACGACAACCACGCTCTGGCGCAGAAATGCCGAGGGAGAGCCCGTCTGTAACGCCTGCGGACTCTACATGAAGCTCCATGGGGTAACGCCTTCATTGATCTTTACTCTTTATGGGGAGGGTATCGATAGCACCAAGCTGGGGATTGGGTTCGTTGCACAACTCGCTGCTCTCCTGGAGCTGTTTTTCCTGCTGTCCCTCCGGGTTTTAGTCCCCCTCAACATTACAACATGTTTATACTGGCAAGGGGTGATGCGTGCAGGGCATTTCTCACGTACTGATTAGCTACCCTTTGCATCCAAGTCTTAAAACCCCAAAAACCGAGGCCCAGATTCTTCCCACCTAAATTCAGGCACTTTAGTGAAAAATCTGAGTCAGCAGCACAAAGAAGGGCTTTGCCCTTCCACACGGGGTGTCAGATCCCAGCTAAGACTTGGTTGTAGACTTGTCACGGGAGCGATCGATGACTTTTCTTGCACGGGTGTCCAGATAGTCTCTTCCTGTCAGTGGGGGCTTCATGTATGTATGTTATGTCTGATATACCTAGAAGAGTCCCGTTGGAGTCCAAGGCATAGCAGGACTTTAAGATGCAAATCTCCAGTCCTCCTCCCACCAGTCAGTGGCAACAAGGCCACCCCCAAAGGCAGAGACAGAGGCCTTCAACATCCTGGCGATTGCTTGGTAGCAAACCCCCTTCTGCTTCTCATTGCTTCTCCTAGGGTTTTTTTTTATACACATCCATGCTCTCAAGGATTTCCAGTGCTTCAGAGCGGATGGAAGAGCATTCATGAGAGACAGGTCAAAGCTGGAAGACAAGGTGGATGAGGGGAAGCCTCACCTAACCCAACAAACTATTCCTAGAAATCCCAGCGTGTTTCTGACCATGAGGGTGACTACCTCAGTGGGATCAGTTCCTAAGGGAGGTCTCCCCACACAGGCCTGGTACCTTTCCAGAAAGCAGCCATTAGCCAGAAAGAGTCTTCTGCTCTGAGTTAAACAGGAAAGTAAATCAGATGAGCTGTTGTTCCCCTCTGGCCTTAAAACACTCTATACCTATGGTGTGGAAACCCTATCTATTCCCATTTGGATGCACATCTTGTAGCTTTGACATATCTCTTCACACAGCAGTGCTGACCAGTGATTTTGGGCTCCATCTTGTTTTTGCTTTCAATTAAATCAGTTGGTTTTCATGGCGCCTACGAGGTAGAGCTGGAATCATGTTCTCCTAGATGACCTTATGGACATACAGAAACCAATGTGCTTTTATATTTGGGTCTGCAGGTTCCAAGGCCTTTAGCCATGAGAAAAGAGGGCATTCAGACGAGGAAGCGCAAGCCGAAGAACCTTAACAAAACAAAGACGCCAGCAGGTAAGTGTTGAACGAGGGAGTTTATTGCATGTGTATACGTGCGTGCGCCTGTGTTTCTGAGCATCGTGTCCTGCAAGTCAGACACCCAACCACAAAATGGGCTGATTCTTCAAAAATGGGGGATGTCTGAATGCCTTTCAGCAGTAACAAAGCCCTTCCGACTCTTTATTTTTTATTTTTACCTACACTAGCTTTGTGTGGGTGGGTACAGCTCTGTACTGAAAGGTCTTTGGGAAGAGCCTGGTTTACTGTCCGCTTTCTCACAGGTCCGTCCAGCAGCGAGAGTCTTACCCCGACCACCAGCTCCACCAGCAGCAGCAGCAGCGCCACGACCACTGAGGAAATGCGCCCCATAAAAACAGAACCTGGGCTCTCATCTCATTACGGGCACCCCAGCCCAATTTCTCAGGTACAGAGGGGAGATGCTGGCAGTGGGACAAAGATGGGAACTAGGACGGTAGACATGGTGAGAAGACCATCCTCAAAACCTCTGTGGAAAAAGGCTGCCTCTTTTCAACCCAGGGGTCTAGGAGTTCACAGTAAGAGATCGATCCTCTGGGATGGGGCAAAACCCCACATTCTTGTCACCATGTCTACAGCACAATATAGCTTTTTAGTGATGTGCGGCAGTTCTGAATGGACAACAAGAAGTAGCAGCTTTGCTGAAAACATGAAATTCCTTCTAGCTGGGCAGCTATATAGGTCCCACAGCAAGAAAATGCCCACTCCCTTTGTATGATTTGATTTGATTTGATTTGTCTTGAGCAAGGAAAAACTTGGCGGTATTACCCTACTTCCTCTGCACTGGCTGGCTGTGTGTTGAGCGATATGAGAAACGCAGTGTGAGGAGAATAAACTCACACAGCTCAAATCTAACTGAGTCGAGGCCCTGCAAAGGTAAAGCAAGCCAGCATGATGGCAGAGAGCTGGAGGGTAAAGTGGTGTGCTCTGCACCGTATCCACCACTAGATGTCTTGGGACCAGCACTGCATCCACACAAGGTGCGTATCCTGCTGAGCAACACCCCGATCTGGAAGCTGACCTGCGCGAATGTCTGCAGGTTTAATAACTGTGCCTTGGTTAAGAATCCCCATAGCACAGCACGATTAAGAGGAAGAGGTATATGATAGTTGCTCTCCTTTTGGGTTCGTACAGGGAACGCCAGTGTTTAAACAAAATGAGCCCTGGAGAAAAAAACATATGTGGTTGAGCGTTGTGCCGGACTGATCCTGCACCTGCAGCACTTTGCAGCACTGTTATGTGCCCTGCGATCCACAGGAGGCTATTTGTAAGCTAGGAGAGCCCAAGGCCAATGAAATCTCAAGCCTTGGGAGGTAAAATGATCTTTTAGAAGAGAACATTTAGACATTTAGAAGAGAACAAGATGGCCCGTATACAGTAATAGGAAAGAACAGGGTCTGGAACAAGAAGGAAAGAGCCTGTCCAAAGTATCACGCATCAGCTGCAACCTGCAGCTCTACAGCAAATCCGCAGACAGGTTATTTCAACAGCACCAGCCCCCATAAAGGGATTGATAGGGTCCTCTATGGTTTGAAGCTTTCTTCACAGGATTTTCCTTTTTCCGTAGGCATTCTCAGTCTCTGCCATGTCTGGACATGGATCATCTATTCACCCTGCGATTTCGTCTCTGAAGCTTTCCCCGCAGGCTTACCAGTCAGCTATCAGCCAGTCTCCACAAACCAGCTCCAAACAGGACTCCTGGAACAGCCTGGTGTTAGCTGAAAACCATGGGGACATCATAACTGCATAACCTGGTCTTCCACCCATGGACTTCAGGCTGATCTGCTTGAGAGATGAAGAAGATGCCACGTAATCATCAAGTCAATGTTGTTTCCCACCTCCCCTGCTCTCCTGCATTCTATCCCCTTGTGAGATGTTCCAGCAAAGAGGTAAAGAGGACTTATCTGAGGCGTAGGAGAGCTCTTAAGAAACGAACAGAGAAGACACAAATCTCAAAGTAACTAATGGACATGAAGCCTTTTCTCCCACTTTAAATGAGCCTCTCTATTTGATTGTAACCACATTCTATGAAATAATAGCCAGAAGCACAAAGATGGACACAGTTCTTTAGTTTTGTTTATTTAAAAACATCTGGCATTTAAGACTCAGACGATGGTGGAGCAGAGATACTTTTTTCCTTCTGTCACCATCCGTTCTTTTCCTGACCAGAAGAAAATGCCACCATCTTCTCATTACCCAAATTCAGTGATCTTCCACCAAATGGAGCCAGTTCCAGAACAGTTTGTTGAACAGACTTCACTAGACATGCTGTGGTGGCTTTAGTGGATTTGATATGATCTAGGGCAGAGAAAAAAAGAGACCCTTCCCCACACGCATCCTCAGCTCACACATCTAGAGCTCTGTCTTCATTTTCCTAGATGGTCTGAAAACCTAATGAATGTCTGTATTTAATAGTAACCCCTTTCCTATTTATCATTACAAAATCATGGGACTGCGTTTCCGAAAGGTTGTTGGCTGAGCCTGGAGAAGGTCTGTCCAAAGTCAAAGGGGGATTTTGGAAGGAGGAACCTTCTGGAAGCAGGTAGAGGAGACCCACATTGGTCATCAAATCCTGGAGGAAAATCCCTTATGGATAGCTACAAGCCAGGCTCGGAGATTATTCAAGAGCACAGCAAGTGAAAGATGCTCTTCTAATGCTGCTGTGCCGTTGCTTTTGAGACAGTTAATTTAATTATTTTGCATACTTTTCTGTTGGTTTTGATGTCATTGATGAAATCCGATTGTCATTTATTTTTGGCTGTACTGTGAGTGCCCACTGTCCCCCTAACAGCTGGCTCATGACCATTTCACACACCTAACCCTTTAGGATTTCACCTTTTGCAATGAGCAAAGGCTTCAGCCTCTAATGGAGGTAGGCAGGGGCCGTTTTCTTTACCAAGCACGTGCATAGACTTGCTTGCCTGCAAGAGAAGCGTAACTCCATTCATGCATGAGTATTAAACAAGACTCGTGTTTTTTCTTGCCCATAGGGCTCTCAGCAACCAGGGAATCCTAGCAAATGGAGTTGGAAGAGATGCTGAGAGCTCACTGACTCATTCCCTTTTCCCAAAGGGATCAATTCTACCTAACCTAGCCCTGACTGCTCTTTCTCTAGCATGTGCTTAACAAACTCCAGCATCGCTGATGCCACAGCTCCCCTGTGCAGTCTAAGTGCTTCACCAGATGCTTGCCATGACGTTTTCATCAACATGTCTGAGGAGGGACAGCTTTGCCTGTCCAGGCAGAGAATTTCTGGGAGACCTCATAGAATCATAGAATCATTGAGGTTGGAAAAGACCTCTAAGATCATCGAGTCCAACCGTCAACCCAATACCACCATGCCCACTAAACCATGTCCCTAAGCGCCTCATCTACACGTCTTTTAAATACCTCCAGGGATGGGGACTCCACCACTTCCCTGGGCAGCCTGGTCCAATGTTTAACCACTCTTTCAGTAAAGACATTTTTCCTCACGTCCAATCTAAACCTCCCCTGGCGCAACTTGACGCCATTTCCTCTTGTCCTATCGGTAGTTACTTGGGAGAAGAGACCAACACCCACCTCATCCTACAAGATTCTCTGCTCTTGTTTCTGTCCACTCCCAAACTCTGTTACTTTTCTTGCCTTCCTAGCTCCTCTCTTTCCCCCCTGCATTCAGAACTCGAGTACAGAGCCACCGAGTGAAAATCTAGAAGAGGGATTGTGCATCCCTCCCAAATGTGCCATCTTCTGTCTCCCACTGTCTAACATTCCCACAAAGAGTGTTTCCACCCAAATACCAAGATACATGGCTTGGCAAAGAGGAAAGCCACATACATGTTTGAAGCAAAAGAATGGCATTGTATTGTCTTTGTTTGAACTCACCATTTTCCTCCTGATGGCAGAAAAGCTTCTTTAAGGAGAAGGATTCAACTGGACTGGTCATGATAAAGACTGGGACTGGAGTCACAGTAGAGACCTGGAGCCTTCCACATTCCCTGTGCTCTGCGTAACTCAGATTTGCAGGGTTTTGGAGGGGAGACAGAGCCTCTGCACCCCCCGAGAGAAAAACACCATGGCAGTGATGCCATGGGAACGGATGGATGGTGTTTGTACCAGAGTTTCCACTCTGTCTCGCTGAGCTAATGCACGGTCTAGCCTCATTACTGTTAATTACAGACAAGGAAAAGACATTCATGAAACATGAACAAAAAAAAAAAGAAATTCTGTGGTTCTGCTCAGGCCCGGTAGGCTGCAGAGAAGAGGCCAGAAATAGCACCTAAAAATATGAATTTGGGGTGAAAACATAAAGGCGTTTCTTGCCGGGCATGCAGGTCTTTAGCCAGCCTCCTCCTTGAACTATATTCCTTTGTAAACGGCAGTTGAGCTCTCTTGGGATCTGGCTGTGAATTCTTGTCTGGAACAGAGAAGCATGCACCACAAAGATGCCACTTGGCTAATGCACACGTTTGAGATACCTAGAACTACCCTGGACGACCTGAGAGGGAGGGGAGCAGGTGGTCTCATGGAGAGGAGCTAAAGTCCAGACCAACCACTTTCTCTTTCCATATGGATGCTCCCAGAGGCTCTGTCCACTTTGCCTTATTACTGCACTCCTACTGCCCTCAAAGCTAAACTCCCTGGCTGAATTTTTCTCCTGCCCTTAAAACACACTCTGAGATGCCATAAAGGAGTCTGCTTGCAATGCAAGAGGGGAAGACCCCTGGCAGGACATCAGCCTGCCTTATGGTCCCTCAGGTTATCTAAATGACCGTGGTAGAGATTTGTTAACTGGTTCTCAGCCTTCCTCAAAGCCTTAAAAATAATTCTTGAAACACAATTTAACCATTTCTAAATGTCTTTCCTCTTTGGGGAAGTGCAATATCTTGAATCGCTTCAGTTATTCTTTTGTAAATTGATCAGAAGAGATCCATATTCCACTTGCAATCTTATGGGCTGGCTGGAGAGGGTGCAATCAGGAGGAGCTCAGGAATATTGTAAGGGAGCTTTAAAACCGATCAACAACTCTTAATAGAACATTGAAGCTGTGACTATGTCAGGGGTGGTGTTTTGTTTAGCTTTTTTTCTCCCTGTGTATAAAGTTTGAGGCTTCCCAGGTCACCTGGGAAGGTCCCATGGAAACAGACACTTATTTGTAAGGGGGAGAGGGAAACCAACCAACTGAACAAGCTGTAATTATTTAAAGATGTAAAAAAATATATATTATGAAGTAGTATTGCTACCAATCCACGTAACTTCTACACCTTTAGAACTAATGGAAATAAAACAATGCTAATAAAACCAGAAGGCTGCTGCTTGACTCTGACTACCCTCGTGGGCTTCTTGGAGAGGGCTGGGGGTAAATGATCATCTATGAAGTGCACCTGGAGAAGCAATGGTGCAATGGGTCCTGTCCTAGCAAGCTCATAATGATAGAATTACGGAGTAATTTAAATCAGAAGGGCCTGGATCAGGTTTTTCAGGGCCCTGTTCAGTCAAGTGTTGAATATCCCCAAGGATGGAAATCCTACAAACTCTCTGGGTTCCCGTTCCGGTGTTTGACTGCCCTCATGGTGGGAATGTTTTTCCAAGCAAACATTAGATTCTAATGAGAGGCAAAATCATTGGCAAATTAATTGCTCAGACCTGGGGACTCCCAAGCAATGAGTCACTGCAGGAGACCGGACGCTGTCTCCAAGCCCAGGAGTCACACAGAGCCACTTCTTGTAGGCAGGAGCTGGGACGGTCAACGCAGGATGACAAACACCAGAAGTGACAGACACGGAGCAATTCAAGGCCAGGCTGGATGAGGCTTTGAGCAACCTGATCCAGTGGAAGGTGTCCCTGCCCACGGCAGGGGGGTTGGAACTAGATGATCTTTAAGGTCCCTTCCAACCCAAACCATTCGATGATTCTATGATTTTAATACAAAGGGGGAAAACCACTCAATGTGTTTTCCATGCAGCAGGTAATCCCCCTAGCACAGCAGAGCGGGGAAAAGCTTCTCAGAGCACTTTAATACCATCGTGACTTATCTTTTTGGTCTGCTCACTAACATGGTTTTGTGTAGCAGGCTGCTGTTCAGCCTAACTGCTTCCAGCTGAGCTCAGAGGCACCGCCCTTAAGCCAAAATCACGTTTCCAGCAAGGGCTGTGCTTCTGCAGAGGGCAGCGGTGGCTGAGCACAGCTCTCCTGCAAGCACCCAACCTTCCTCCGGGGGTGCCCAGCTTCCTTCCCAGTACAACCAGTCCCTGGACACCGGTGCAACTGGTGAGGTGAGTGTGGCCAGCGCTTGAAACCCTGCCCATTCCTCCCACACCAGCCAATCGGGGAGCTCCCCTGGTATTTGGGGGTGGAGGGTCCTGCTCCCCTGTAGAAGTGGGTGGGTGGAAGGGTTTTGGGTGTAGAAGGTGGTGTTGGGGGTGGGTAGGTTGGTTAGGGGGAGGGTAGAGGCGCTGTGGGAGGTGGCTGAGGGTGTTGGAAGGGGTACTGGGGGCAGAGGAAGGGCTCTGGAGCACAGAGGAGCAGAAGGGGGGCAATGAAGCAGGGGGGAAAGGCTGCGTGGTCTGCTCCCCAGATGCATGCACAGGGTGAGCCTGGGAAGGGCAGTGGCTTGAGGGCTGGATGCAGGGATGTGGGGCTCAAGGGGTGTGTGCTATGGGTGCCCGCTCTGGGGCTCTGTGCAGTGCACGTGAAGGTGCTGGGCTGTTCCTCCTTCCCCAGCAGTCTGGTGTGGGCAGACTGCCTCCACTGCCTGGGGGAGATGGGGTGAGGGGGGGAACTCGGGGCTCAGTTGTTTTGGAGAGCTGCAAGTTGATGCTTGGATGAGTGTGAGAAGATAGCGAGCTCTGCGCTCCCTTAATTGCATGTGGAGCGTCACGGCCGTGCCTTGAAATCCCTGCAGGAGCCTTGTGCAGGGGTGTGAAGCCATGGTGGGGCTTCCTCTGCGGCGGCGTGTGGGGCTGCAATCCCTGGGCGCAGGTGAGCTGGCAGTGTGGGCGTGCAGGTAAAGCTGGGTTGAGGCGGACAACAGCCCGGTCCTTGTTATGTCCCGGTGCGGGT